TGTCCATAATTCACATGAAGATGATGTATTTGGAGACAATTGAAGCATGCATAGCATTCTGCTATTGATGTACTTTCCTTCAACCCTATAAAGGCAGTTATAAGAATACTTATGCATATATTCTTATACCTTGAAACAAAATTAGTGATGCTGCCTTCCATTTCATACCATCTTATTATTCTGTCTGTTATGTAATCAGTGCATAGAACACTTGTAGAGCATACCCTGTGTCCTTTGGCACACATTGTGGCAAATATGTGCTTTGGTATTCAGCAAGACATTGTTTAAACAAGCACGTTTTGTACCTTATTTGTCATACTTGCCTGTTGTTTTTTTTTTTTTTTAATAAGATAAATATTCATATTGAGCAAATCTCATTCTCTACCTTAAGTGAGCCAGAAAGAGATTTTGCTCTTCTAGGGAGGCTAAATGGTATGTTAGCTAATGATGAAGAAGCTGCAGTTGCATCTTTTAATAGATCTGATCCTTAGTTAGTATAAATAGGTGTGGCTTGAAGTATGTACATGCTGGAAAAATAGGAGCTCCAAAGCAGTGCCTTATGAATTGAATAAAAATCAATAGTAAGTGCCTTCTGGTCTTGAAAACAGCACATTGAAAAATAGCAAGAGCCTAAGGATGAATGGCCATGGGGCTTTTGGAGAAGCTGCGCCATTTACGTGTGTTTTATTTACTCACAAAACCAATGTACAAGGTTCTTGTTCAAAACTCTTTTACTGGCTGTAATGGCAGCAGAATGGACTAGCACCATGCTGCATGTTTAAGGTCTGTATGGGGAGGAGAGTGCACGTGACAGGTTGAAGAGAGAAAATGGCGAAGAACATGCCTGAAGAACTAGGAGTAAGATGTGGAAATCTGAGGGATTCCCCCAGCAGACTCAGGTTAAATTCAGTTGAACAAATAGGTATAGGGAATAAGTTTCTTCTTTTATAGTAAACAGAAAGTTGCAGTCAGGTTGAAAGTGTTTTTATTGCAGAACCTTTCACCTGACTAGCTGTGCAACAGTGATGTTTATCTTTTATTGCTAATCTATGAAGGAGGGGGGAAATACTCACTGGCTTTACATCTAAAAGGTTCCTATTTTACTAACCCATATTCCCTTTCCCATTTAATGGTTGGACTTGGTGATCTTAAAGGTCTTCTCCAACCTAGTTGATTCTACGATTCTGTGATTGTCCATAGAAAGAAGGATCATACCGTCTTTTTAGTGCCATTAAGGACAGCAATATCTGTTCCTTTTGCAGAACAAAGAACACTGCTGGTTGTGTGAGATGTCCCAAAGTTGTTCTTATCAGATCCTAGCTCTGTTCTTTGAAAACAGGACAAGTTGTAGGAGATGGTGCACACTGTATGATAGCTGCCTCAAGTTAATGAAATTTATCAAATTAAGACTTATGAAACAAAAGCAAAAAGAGCTAGGAAAAACTTGGGGAGGTCGAAAGGACTAAGAAGGGAAGGGGTGTGCCATCAGTGACCTGTACTGCCTACATTGTTACAGTTGGATTGGTGCTGAAGATTTAGCTCCAGTCATCATCCTCCTGTAAAAGGGAGAGTGGTACAGACTCTATATCGTACCAGATTGTCAGCCAGTCCTGAAGTGTATTGTTTCTAATCTACCTTTGTACCCCATCTTGATTTGCCAGAGACTTCTTGAGCATCTTGGAAGATGTAACGGCAATAAAGACTCCTTGCTGTAGTTACTTTTCTAGCTAGCAGGTTCAGGCCATTATTTTTCTTACCTTCTCCTTTTGTCAGTTCTGATCTTGTGGCATTTCTCCTGCAGTTTCCTGAAGTATGTCTTGTGTGAATTGGTTCATACCTCAGATTTATAAGTTACTTTGTAATAGGCTGTATTAGATATTTAAACACCCTAGAAGAAATCAAGCTCCACTGATTTCTGCCTGGTTACAGAATATGGACATTTAAAATGCAGTAGAGAGTGACCTGTGTCTGGGTAACTAGTGCCATTTTACATTTCAGCCTTCATCCGCTTGAAAGCAAAAGCGTGAATCACCATAGACTCTTTCACATATGTGCCAGCTGATCATAGATGTCACAGATACCATGGGGTATGTAGGTGCCCATGTTCAGATATCTGAATTGCTCCCAGGAGATCAGAATGTCTTGCAGCAGCCAAGAATGTAAAGATGCAAAAAGAATTGTTCTGTCATCAGTGTGATAAAATGAGTGTATTGCGAGATTGGCAGCAGAGACTTTTTTTCACTCTAGAATAGTTGGTACTGTATTTGGAGCTGAATATGTTGCTTAGAAAATATACTTACAGGTATATATATACTCATTGATAATAGCATAAACTCCACATGTATCTTGTAGTGGGCAAGTGCTCGGCACTTTTAAACAACTTTACAAGAACTCAAGAGCATTTGAACCTCCAAGAGGCAATCTGTTTTTTTCTTTCCAGCCTTCTGAGTAATATTTTGTCAAGTAAGTAGAAAGATGTGTTAGTGGTTAACAGTTCAGCCTAGCTTACCTTTTCTCCTGAGAGCTGACCTCTCAGAGTAAAAAATGACAATGAAAGAGAATCAAAGTTTTAAAAGATTAAAGTAGAAAGTTTATTTCACTAATGTTAGTTTCTCCTTACAGGTCAGTTGTGTTGGGAAATAGCCATCATTAAAGCAGTTACATCTGTTATGAAATGTCACATTTTGGTAGATAATCTTTTACGTTCTGGCACCATATGGTACCTCCAATTGTGCTGGTTTTGGGCTTGATAGGGAATTTCTTACTGTCTCACTTTTCTGTAAAGTTAAACGTTTAGTGTGATGCTAGAAGACAGTTATACCATGGTGCTATCTCACATCAAAAGGTCAGTATTGCCAAAGGATGCATAATATTGAAAACTATGTAATTTTTATATATATATATTTTTGTGTATATGTTTAAAACCACTGAGGTCATTGTTTGAATTATCTTCTCAGTAGAAGGCAGGATCTGATTTTTACAGTTAGGGCCTAATTCTGTGCTTGGGTGTGGGTGATTTTGGCTTGCATGATTGGAGTTTGCACAAGTCACTTATTGCTGATGAGCAATCTGCCATTGGTAAGCCTGCGAAATTTGTTAAAGGCTAGACTGGAATGCTGTGAAGGAGGAAAGTGGTATTGATACAGAAATAAACAGGGTGATGATCTCATTTGAAGGTAAATTACTTGAGCTGTGTTAAGCTATAGCTTCAATTGTCAGGTTTCTGACTAAGGTAATAGAAAATTTGACTCCTTTAACATTTAAATGTAGCTTTGCAATTTGCAGTAAGTGTAGCTGTACCATGTAGTCTTGGTGACATGCACAGTCTTCCCTTCTAGTGAGAAAGTGACTGTGATTGAACAGCCCACGTCACCTTGGCCTACTGTAATCAAACCCCAATGGGCCATCGCCTAGCATCTGGCCAGTCTGCGAACAGCGATGGACGTCAGGGGGCAGGGAGCTCCTGTGCTCACAGGAAACAGTAGTAACCTGAAACAGCCACCTCTGTATTGTTGCATGAACCTCAAATACTCCCTTGCAATGACATAGACATACTGTTGACTTTTTTACGTTAACTGTAGCTCACTAGTTGTGACGTGCTTCATTTGACCCATTCTGTAATATTTTAAACTATGCATTGAGCACACATCCGTTCTGCACCTGGGGCCTGATCCAAAACATTAAATACATTTGAAAGATCAGTCCTCTTTAAGGACTTTTGGCTCAGGCCCGCTGTTTCTGTGAATGCTGTTGCTTCATTTTAGTTTATTTTTTTAATTGCTTTTTGCTGATGGGCTGTAAGGGTTTGTTCTTTCTTTTGTAAATAGCTGCATTTAAAACAAAAGCAAGGAGCTGCACAAAGACAACCTGCATCTCTCTCTATGTATATAACAAATGCAGCTGTTGTCACATGTATAGTATTGTAATCAAAATACAGTGGCACTATTCTGTACTCATAATGTAGATGGTAGAATTCCTTACATCAAAAATACTACAAATCAGATGAGAATTGTCCTTTTGTGGAAATATAAACAGCCATGTAGAAAATAGATGGCACGGGTAAGTGAATAAACTGATAGCCTTCTAGAACTGGAATGCAAATACATGCTTACTGGATCTCCGCTTCATAGTCAGATGTTGTCCTGTCCCCAGCTATTCCTGAAGACTTTATCAGAGAGTACAGAGTTTATTTACAGCCATCATAAGCACATTAAAATGCTGGCAGGATAGATAGTACTATAAATTTTTAAAGTGGTATTAAAGAGAACTGCAAAACACACTTGACATGTTGGAACCTATTGAGTATCCTGCATATTTTAAAGGCTTTGTTAAGCAAAAAACTTCCCACAGTTGCTTCAGAGGCTTTAAAGACTTAATTTTGATTTCAGATTGCCTATTTGCAGTATTGTCCTCCCACGCTGCCTCATCACGTTGTGTATGCTAAAATATGCAATATAGAATGAAAAGCTGTGGGGGAAGAAAAAACAATGGACACAGAAGTTCACAGCACCTTTGGTGCTGGTGATCTTGCAGAGATGGTTGACTGGGCAGTTTGACAGTTTTGCATGCAAAGGTGCTCTGCTAAAGAGAAAGAGGATACGGACAGTTTGCCTTTGAGAAATATATCCCATGTAGTAGAGGAGTGTTAGGTATAAGGGGGTGGAACAGGACTGGCACTTTCTCAGTATTACAAACTGTGCCTGGAGGTATCAATAGAACAGGAGGAAAATATGTAGAAAAACTTGCTGTGGACAGTGGTTTAAATATGTCACGTTACGTACTATATATGCATTTGCACCTCACGGCAAATTATACTCTAGTAATAGCACAGCTACTGAGCTACAAACTGCTTCAAAGCATGCGTTTCCTGAATTCTTTTGAACTAAAATTATCTGGCAAAGCAGAGCACAATTTCAATATGTCATAAAGTTGATAATTTGGATTAAGAGCTGATAGATTTTTTTTATTACTAAGGAAAAAATGTTACTTTGTCTTTTCAGATGCAATTGTGTGGAACCAGAACATCCTAGCAATAAAACCTTACGATACTGGCAGGACTACAATATATCTGCATCTGATGTGCCATGGGGGAACCTAACTGTGTCAGTAAGTGAAATATTGAGACTTAATAATTAAAGGCATAAGCGTAAATAATTTTGTCTCTCCTACAGCAGCAAATATATTGAAAAAAAACCCCAAACTTTTTCTGATCATATTTGTTCAATTAAAACATAAAATATATTTAATTAAACAAAGATTAACAGTTTGTAGCTTGACCTCATTGTAACCATTTTGCAGCCCTTGATGGTACACATTAGAGCAAGTATTGTGCATTTTGTGCCCTGCTTTGGAAACTTCTTGACACACTAGCACAAGAGTTTGACTAGGGTTAAGTCTAAACATGTCAAATGACAATGGATTTGTCCTAAATTCTGCCAGATGACAAAACCAAAGCCCCTTTGAGTAGAAATATTCAGATGCATTTACTTCCTCTAAAACATTCTTACAGCGGGATGGGCTATAAAGGAGAGTAGGAGAAGAAATTTTGTCACGATTTCTGTTAAGTGAACAAATTTATCTCTTAAATAGACCTTAAGTATTAGCTGTGTCAGTTGTGTCATGTTTTTTTTTTTGTGGGGAATAGCCAAGCTACAGACAGTTTGGGGGGCTTGCATGGATATGCAGCCTGTTTCAAAATGGTGCATTCTAGGTTTGAAAGATTTATTACTTCAGGTTTGCCTTCCTTAAAGCAATATATGCAACTTGATTAAAGTACTGCATTGATTCTTTCCCTCACAGATACATTATTTCATTACACACACAGCCAAAGGGAATTGAGTGCAAAAGACACCAAATTGAAGTCTTCTTGCAAAAATATATCTGCATTAACCTCATTGTAGGCATAACCAAATGAAACACTTAAAAGCCAGTCCGGTGGACTGTCTCCATCACGTGCTTTTTTTTTTTCTTGCAAAGGTAGGAATGCAGAACTGGTGTCCTCCAATCAGGAGTTAAGCGAGAGGAGCCTTCTGTGGCTGCCCTGTGTTGATAGCAAGGACTGCTCCTCAACTCTGTTGGTGTGGCAACAGCAGAGAGGAAGTTGAGAACTGCTGGCCTGAGAGATTCCAGCAGTCCAGAATGAATATTCTCAAAATTGCAGCACACTCTAAGAGCATCTGTGCAGGGGCAGACTCCTCCTCTCACTTTCTCAGATCTCTGACAGTGTTTTTCAGAGTACATTTGCATCTGAGGAAATCTAAAATAACAGATTTTGTTTTAACTATAAATGTAAAAGACCGGCTGCATTATATAAAACCCTGTAAAACTTCTGTAAAAGCTTATTACTGAAACTTCAGTTTACACGTGTAGCAGTATAACTGACTAGCTTTTCCCATGAGTCCCTATGGTTGTTAAAGAAAGAACTGAAGTTTTTCGCACTTTCGTGTATTTATTTCTTGTAAGCATCATCAGGAAACTTCAATTCTCCTGTTCTGGAGAATTGCAGTTAAAGATTAGACCTACTTGTCTGTAAATATTTGGTCAGTTTTCCCCCATTGTCTTTTTTACTACTCATTTCTTCCTCTTGTGTCAGATTTAAGTTTCAGGCTTTTGAAGATACAGATTGGCACTCTCTCTTAAAAAGAACAGTAGCATCAACAGCTTTTTTTTCCCTCTGTAGGACAAAATGAGTGCGGGCAGTCCTTATTCCGACGGTTGCAAAATCCTCTCATTTCTGTGCTGTGCCAGCATCAGGGTCTAGCTCAGGCCAGGACAAGTTTTCTATTTGATGTCCCAGAATCTTGAGAATTTCTTCTGGATTTCCTGAAAAATGTTTCCCCACCTGAAGCCTTTATTTCATCAATCAGAAGTGCATCATGTTTATCCCAGGTTTATTGCTATACCAGTATAAAAAGTTTTGCACTCCTTTGTTTCACAGTCATCAAATCTATTAACTGTTGTTTTCAAGCCAGCCTTTGTTCAAAGCCCAGGTTTCTCATAACATGTCAAGCCACAGTATTGTGACATGAGTATGATGAGCCAATGACCTAGTTTATTTGTCACTAAAAGATCCTTATCTGGCAGGAGATTGCTGCCTGGAATCTCTAGTTCTGGCTGCTGCATTTCTTTTTGCTTAATAATAGGTATGGAAGGATTTGGGAAGGATTGCAAATCCAGAGCTTGTAGCTCACATTTTTAGAGCCACTCTTAATTCTTCTGCTTGTTAACTTGGAGCAGGTATGATTTTAGACAACTAAGGATGGTATTGGAGTTTTTGTAGACATGTTCTCTACTGTACCTGTGTATTTGATAGTATATTGGATAGAATGAATCTTACACATTTTGGGTTTTGCTGCATTTTATCAGAATGCTGCTTTTAAAGAAAACGATAATTTGTGGAATGTGCTGCCCCCGTGTGGTATTAAATGGATTGGTCGTCTTGTAGCCTAATACTGTACATTCTAAAAACCTTTTTCTTTAATTGCTTGGCCTGTGAAGTTAAAACTAAAAATCAGTTCTTGAGAATGCACCAAGAACAGCCTCCCTCTTGGTAGCTTTTGAGCTTTGCTTTCCTTTCTTAGAAAGAATTGTAGAAGTGCAAATCTGTCCTTGCAAACAGCAAATAAATTTGTGTGTCTGAAATAAATCTGGTTTTACATTATTATATTTGGTTTTTAATGACATTATGATATGTCTTAGTGAGTTCATCATTTAATACTGGTTAAAAAAAGAGATTCTTTTGAGGGTTTGAGAGTTTTCCATGCAGAGTAGATACAAGCATTAGGAGTTTTAATTTTTAAAACGATAAATATCTAAAATAATATTCCTAGTAATAAAATCTGCCTGCAATTTAGGTGTGTAATAGGAAAGAAACTATCAGTGTAAGCATGGGTGTTTTTCAGAACAATGCTACTTTGCTCTCTCTGATAGGAATGTAAAAAGTTTCATGGAGAGTTTGTTGGACGAGCCTGTGGACATCATGGCCCTTATGTTCCAGATGTCCTCTTCTGGTCTGTCATCTTATTCTTTTCTACAGTAACGCTGTCATCCACACTGAAGCAGTTCAAAACTAGCCGATACTTCCCAACAAAGGTGTGTGCCATTTTTTTGGATTCAAAAGTTGTTGTTAGTCGTGTGTAAGCATTAATTCCATATGCATTGCAGATTCAGTTAACTGCTGGTGAAGTGGACACCACATCTTTTACTGTTAGAAATTGTATCAGAATAAGCGTGGTTTTAGCTGTAAGCACAAAATAGCTTAAGGTAATGAAGAAAAAGAAATCCTAAATCACATATGAATGTTTTAGTTAAAATTGCTGTTTCTCTCAATAACCGTAGGTACGATCTGTTGTCAGCGATTTTGCTGTTTTTCTCACTATTTTGTCCATGGTTTTAATTGACTATGCCATTGGGATTCCATCACCAAAACTTCAAGTTCCGAATGCTTTTAAGGTAATTGATAAACGATAAAAGAATTGTTATGTTGACAAAGTACTGGGCTATAGTGGGTTTATTCGTTTTTTTTTTTATCATCAGGGAGTAGTGATACTATTCTGAATTTTTCATGTTCACCAAGTACTACACAACCTTTCTGTTTAGAGGCCCACGTAAGTGAGTGTCTCCCATCAGGCCCTTTCGTGCTTCCTGGTGTCTTCTATGTGAGGACCAACATGGCTCAAATTACCCAAATTGTAAACTGCTGTAATGTTCTAGATCTCCTTCCAAATTCTGGGCTTATTGTGTCAAAACCAACCAAATCTGTTTTGACTTTATTGTATAACTTCTTTGTTTGGTATCATAGAAAGTTTAGCATTTTTCTGTGCTCTTACATAGATTGATTTTAAAGGAAGTCATATCCTAATAATGTTCTTGTGTGTATTCTTGTGAAGTTTGAATGCAAATAATTCTGAGAGTTCTGACTGGTCATGCATGACTGTTTTTATAGCCCACCAGAGATGATCGTGGCTGGTTTATTACTCCTTTGGGGCCTAATCCTTGGTGGACAGTGATAGCTGCTGTAATTCCAGCCCTACTTTGCACTATCCTTATCTTTATGGACCAGCAGATCACAGCTGTCATTATCAATAGAAAAGAACACAAACTGAAGGTATTCAGTCAAAAGTTGTATCTTTGCTGTTGTTTTCTGCTCCAGGTTATGTAATGTGCCTTCATCTACTTGAATATGCTGGTTTATTTATGCTATATAGTACCTTTTTAAATTGTGCTTTTTCTCTGTTGGTGCATGTAGTACCTGTGCCCTGTGTCAGTGATTTGCTGCCTTACAGAAGTCCCTATGAATGTAACTTAGAACAGAGATTCTCAATCAAGAAAGTGCTATCCTTTATGCTTTAATAGAGTAGGATACCCGTTCACCTAGATTGAAAGAATCTGGAAGTTAATAATTTCCTTATGTGCCATAATATTAATTGCCTTTTCAGGTATTGACTTGTTCCACTGGATTGTATTTTGAAAAACTATTCAGGGGTTATGTTGTGATATAAAATTATCTCCTCTCCTCTCTTTGTCCTTCTCTGTGTTTCTACCAGTCCAATTTCTTCTATGCCCTTCCTATGTTAAAAAAGGGAGAATAATAAAAGTGAGCTTTAGAGGCACAATGGGTTCTTAAAGCATAGGACAACTTCCTGCTCTGTTCTCTAACACTTTAGTTGCCTACAGATGGAGAGAGAAAAAGGGACATCACCCCTCTGAAAAACTGTTGGGCAAAATCTAGCAGCAGGTTTCTGTACATGTATATGCAGTGAGCTTAGGCTTTTTTTGACATACTTTTAATAAGGAGCAATCCAATCCCAAGTTGCTTTAAGCAAATGCATTTGCAACCTTCACTTTGCACTGCCTCTTCTTGGATGATTGTGACATTTGATATGTTCTTTTTTTGCCCTCTTTGTCAGCCTGGCTCTTCATGTCAATCCATAGCATTGCATGTGGTTAACTTGACAGATGCAGGAATTTGCTGCCAAGCTTTGGAATGCGTTTTTTCAGCACTGGCATCTGGGAGTCAGATGGTCCTCCTGGCTGCCCCCTTGTCTTGCTGCGTTTTAGTTTTGCTGGGGTCTGGTGTAGCATCACCTGTTGCTATGCTTCCTTTTCTTCCCATATGTCAGGTTCCTCAGATCATGTATGAATGTGAGGAAATGCTCTCGGATTCTGTATGCATTAGCAGATACATTCCTCATAAATGTGTCAGAAGGTAAAAAAAGGTGTCTCTGTTAGGATTTAGAATTAAACTCTTTCTTTGAGTGCATTGTGCATGTAACTAATATCTGCGTTTGACACATCACAGCGTTTGTCAGGATGTGTCATGGAGATAAGACTCAAAAGCACTTTCGGGAGTGAGGGAAGGTTGCTGGAGTTGATTCTTTTCGTTTTCTTTACATGAATTCCCCTTTTTAAGTAATGTAAGCAAATAAGATGGCATTTTCATTTTGATATGTGGCTTACATTTTCATAAACCCAGACGCTTCCCATTTTAGAAGTAAAAGTTGTCTTCAGAAAGAAATGATTTGTTTGCTTCCAACTCGTTTTCCCCTCTTTTTTTATACTTCCCATAGCAAATTCTGAATAGTGCACATTTCAGCTTTTGGCAGTCTCTGTAGCAAACCCTTCCAAGTTTAGTTTAGTTACTTTTTTTATGTCAAAAGGCATTTGCATGGGTTTACAGGCAGAATTATGGTTCAACATGCTCACATTGTTTGCATGAACATCACTGTTTCATCAGACCATGACACTGGATTTGTTGCCATATTGTGAAATTAAGTGGAGATAACTACCTACCTGACTTTTTAAAGGAAGATAGCTTGAGTGCCTGCTTGCAGCTGTGTGGGTCCTGGATACTTCCTAAAATTGAAAAGAAATATCCCTCTCAGCTATGGTAACAGGTATCTGTACAACCAGGCTTGATGCATATCATTGGTCATTTTCAAGCGCAGGTTGTACTTGCAGGTTTATAAATGTATCTTAAGATTTTACCAAAGGGTTTTATCCCCTACTATAAAAGCAAAGCAACATCATCCTGTTGGTAAATTTATAGAGTATTTGACTACTACAGAGATGATCCAAACCCAAAGGTTTTGTGCTGACTTCTCATGTGAATTTTTGATACAACTTGTAAGTATTGAATAGAGAAACTAGTAAAACAGTGCCTGAGGATGAATATTGATTTGTTGTTTAATGTATAGCTTAATTATAGTTTAATTTCTTTTAATTTATAGCTATCTGCTCTTAGAGAAGATGAAAGTGCATTAGTGCTTACCATGCTATACATGTGCTATACATGTGCTTACCATGCTATACAAGTTCTATACATGTGCTTACCATGTATAAAAACTTTAAAAGAATTTCTGTGGTTTTATGGCTCTTTATAGAATAAACTGACTTTGCAAACATTAACTAAAGAATTTTTGTGTAGAAAAGAATCAAAATACATATTGTTTTGAGCTCCTATGTAATGAGGGATGGAGTTTCTAGTAAGATTAGTGCAGTGACAAGTTGGCAGTGTGGCTGAATGTTCTGCTTACTGTTATCCACAAAAGAGATTGAGTTAAAACAGAAAATATATATCTTTTCCATTGTCTTCCTAGTATCTCTTTTATACGCAGGAAAGGTATTTGGTACCCATTGTAAAGTGGAGTTATAATATATGCCCTTAACTTGTAACTGGAATGAGTCTAATAACATAAAGCATTTCTTGTGAGCTAGCAGTAATTCCTCTTCGATAACCAGTTTGCCATCACTACTGCCCCAACCTGGATAACACGTAAAGCTATTTTTTGCTACAAGTCACAAATCTTTTAATTGTCTCTAACTGTTCATTAGGAATGCCAGCGAGGAGTGTTCTCCTCTATTCAGATACCATTTTATATCTTCTTGTCATTACTTTTCTTAACAGAAAGGATGTGGATACCATCTCGACCTACTCATGGTGGCAGTCATGCTTGGAGTGTGCTCTATTATGGGATTGCCGTGGTTTGTTGCAGCTACTGTCCTCTCTATTTCCCATGTGAATAGCTTAAAACTGGAATCAGAGTGCTCTGCTCCAGGGGAGCAGCCAAAATTTCTTGGAATCCGTGAGCAAAGAGTCACAGGGCTCATGATTTTTATCCTTATGGGCTCATCTGTCTTTTTGACAAGTATCCTGAAGGTAATTTGGGGAAGTAAGGAAAAGCTAAAGAATACTGCACTGCGCTGAACATTTCACTGACATTACTGTATTCTTTAATGAGTGTCCTCTCCAGGCATGTTACTCACAAGTGCATGTTACACAATGATAATCTAAAGTGAATTCTAATTTTGCATAATAAAATGGTCAGGGTCATCTAACATTCTTAAAACAAAAACCTTATAATGAAAATCTGGCTTGACTGAAGTCAAAAGGAATTCTGCCATTGACCTGCACTATATAGAGATTCGCCCTTTTTTTATACTTTGGGCCCATGGCAAATTGTCATGAAATGGTTTTGCCTAAATTGTACCAAGAAGTAAATTTATTTAGAAAATTTAAAAACATTTTGTGATTTCTAGATAATTTAAAAATATTTTCACAGTTGCAAGAGAAGTTTTGTGGCTCCTTTCTTGGAAACAAACATGGAAATCTGCTCATGCTGCCTGCATACACAACACAGCTCACCAGTGTCCTGAAACTGGGTGTCTACTTATATGTCTATGTAATGGCAGCTATATTCATAATACTGTTTTTTAAGAATTATCTGGCCACTGGCTTCAGTAAGGCCAGACTTTAGCCTTGCATGCTGTCACAGTGAAGGCAATAAGCCCTTAGAACTTGTACTTCTCAGTAGTATTTTACTAAGTATATCATAAATCTTCACTTTGAAAACACATGAAACATGCATTTGATGTATTTAGTATTTAAAACAGATACTTATCTGTGGAAATATTCCTTTACCTACACACTCTGCACTAGGAGGCTGAACATTTAAAACAGCCTTTTACAAAACCATTCCTTAAGTAATTTACCCATATTTAAATGCTTGCAGTACAGAGCATTTCTTTTAGCAGTATGAAGTATTTTGTGTATGTCTTGAAGATTTTTCTGAGGATTATAGTTTTACTTTTTATTCAGATACTCTCCTGAGCAGTCTTTTAAGTAAGGAATTTATCTATCAAACCCTTTATTTTTTTCACAGAGTTCTGTTAATTTTTCTAATAGTGAATAAAGTATTTTGTAATAACTGGCTATGAAGGGAAAACAAAACTATAGAGCCAGATTCTTCTTTTGCTTTATGCTGAGAAACATTATTAATTTGTAATTGAGTGACTCTGAATTTACAACTTGTCTGATTAATGCAGGCATATGGCACTTTGAATTTCAACTGTTTAGAATGTCTTTCTAGAAGCATTTCAAATTGATAAATGGTATTTAATATGCTCTTCCTTTTCTCTGCTTGTTTGTGCAGTTTATTCCTATGCCGGTACTTTATGGAGTATTTCTTTACATGGGTGCTTCATCTCTAAAGGGAATTCAGGTAAAATGGATTTATGAAGAGTGTGTTACTGATGATGCTTTCTATAAAGTGTGTAGTTATTGCATTATTTTATTATCTTTTGGGTATCCTCTTAAAGGAATATTGCCAACCTTAAATTCTTGAAAGTGGCTCACTTACAAAAGAAAGTTGATTCTCTCTAAATAGAGTATTCCCTTTAGGCAATGTGCTCCAATTTTTTATTTCTTAGGTGCTGATTTTTCTGTTCTCCTTTGTTATCAAGGGTATTTGGCTGAGCCTAAAAACTGATATCTATCAGGGGTTCTTACCTCTCCCCTGCCTCCCTGTTCACTCTTGCCTGCTGCCTTTTCAGTTTCCAGGGTGGTGTCTTTGTAGTGGTACACTTGATCTTGAACTTTGCCTTTAGGAGGCTTTTGGCTGAGTTGCCCTCAAACTAACACAGCTAACATTTTGAAGGTATTTCCTGTGCAAATAAAGGGCATGGGCAGGAAAATGGAACTGTTGCAAGTTCCATGGTAAGTGGAACTCTTGCAAGTTCTGTACTACTTAATTTCTGGCTTCAGGGATGAAGGACAAGTCTAGTGGAAGGGCAGCATTCCTGCGGTGGCCTTAAGGAGTCCCTGACCAAAACCAGGCACTCCAGCATTCAGGTCAGGTTTGGTCATGATATCCTGTGTACCATTTCTCCTGGATGACTGCAGTGTTAAATGGCATGGTTGTCAAATCTTTTAGCCTGACACACTCAAATTTTCAATTGTGTTTTTGTTGAAAGTTGAGGAAGTGTACATTTTCCAAGACAATGGAGAAAGAACAATCACATGATGGAAACATGAATTGTACTGTACAAGAGGCTGTCAAATACAAAGAGCAAACAAAATGCCCGATTGTTTCTTTCATTATATTTAAATTCTTTGCTGAGAGTTAAAAATGTCTTGCCTTTTTTAACCTATTATTTGTAGGCAAAGCTGGGAACATCTCTTAGTTTTTGGTTAGTGTTTTTCTGTTCAGGGACTTTTATAACTTTTCCTAGCTCTTGCCGTTTGATATAAAACTCCTTGATATTCTAAGGAGTGTAGTTTGGTTTTTACTAAGGTTTAGATAATTTAAGCTTAATGTGGTTCAGCTGTTTCTCAGAACAAGGGTATGAGAAAGTACTCCATTGAGGAGTCGTTTTAAGGCATGCTAAAATCTGGCTGCCTTTACTTGGAAAAGTGATAGCATCCCCCTTCCTTCCTCTCTCCCCCAAGCTGGGACAAGGAGTGGAGATTTGATAAGATGTATTTTGTGGGAGGATGTGCTTTTTGCCGTTTCTGTGAAAAAGAAATCTGCTCAAATCTGGCCAAATTATCTGCCTTTAAAAAAAACGCATTTTGCACATGCTCAGTAAAAATTCCTGAAGCCTGAAATTTCTGAAGGCTGTTTGAATATAGCATAGCTCATCCATGCAAGGAGAAATGGTGCATTACTATCTTCACTGTGCCATAGCACGTGACACAAAATCTTGGATCAGTGCGGAACCAAATAGGTCTGAAAAACAATAACCTCTCATGTACATTCCTAACAGCATGACAGTCGGCTGTCTGGCATTCCTTTGGTTGGTTGGTTTGTTTGGGTATTTTTGTTTTGTTCCTGGTTTTATGAACAAAGTATAACAGGGAACAGCCTGGGATAAAGTGTCTGCTGAAGTACACACAGGAGCTAGAAGACTGAAGAGATCCCTCCAGGATCAGCTTTTTGTGTGCTAAAGAAAACAGAGCTTAGTTGTTGAAAATACAGAGTTTAGAATGTATTAGAAAGATGGTGTAATAGTGGGTTTGCCCAGCAGGATCAATGAGCTTCCATTCAGTTTGAATCATAATTGATTCATGTCTACTCTGAAGTCTGGCTTTGCCTAACTTTAAGAATTCTTGACTTGAAATCTTAGCGGTATTATTTTAAAGTAACTGTTTTCTTTATGTATAACATATTATATAGTTATGAGCAGGATGTTTCTTGGCATATGACTATGCAGTGTAATTCAGTGGAATCCAGTATCTAAGCACATAGAAAGATGTAAGGAAGCAAATGTGTATTAAAATTGAAAGGAACTTAAGAAGTATGACTGACTAAATTCTTACTCTTTCGGCTCAGCTGAAAAGAAGATGAGTCCTTTACTACTATATACTTTGGACTAGTATAGATTCATGACTCATGTGCTCCTAAACTTCCGCACAGTTTTTGCCTTTAGTATGAGCCAGAAATGAAGGATATTCAGTCAGTGTGTGAATGTCAGCATAGGTGATCCTACAGCTCATTTAGATGCAAACTTTAAAAACTTTATCTTTCAGCTTTTTGACAGGATAAAGTTGTTCTGGATGCCTGCAAAGCACCAGCCAGATTTTATTTATCTGAGGCATGTTCCTCTTAGAAAGGTCCATCTCTTCACCATAATTCAGCTGAGTTGTCTTGTGCTTCTGTGGATTATAAAGGTTTCAAGAGCTGCCATTGTCTTTCCTATGATGGTATGAAATGTCTTTTAATTCTTCTAAAAATGACTTTTATTTTACTTGTGGATATTTATTATTGAAGAAAAACATTAATTGTGGGCAGATAATTACAAAATTGCTTCGACTCAGTGTTCAAGAACAGTTCATGCTGTATTAAGGAAACATTTTACACATCACCTCTTGTTTGAGTCTGGGTTGCACTCTGTTAATGTGTGGGGATAGCCCAAGTGTGTATTCTCTTAGGGAGAATTCTCTTGGAAAAAAAAAGAAAGATATTTTTATTCAAGCTGTAGTGCTTAATCCTTTTACAAAAGGAACATTCACCCATTAAGGACGTTGTTCATTCACTGAGGAACTTTACTGATAGTTCTGTGTCTTGCTTGCAATAAAAATCTGTTCTGCTGCTTAATAGATCTGATTATCTCACTAATTCAAAACAAGAGGTATCTCTGACCTCAGTGATTGTTAAATGTTTCAAGTCAGACTTCCTCTGAACAAAGGACGACCAGCTGTTGGCCTGTCCAAATTAAAGGGTGAAATTCTACCTGTAAACTATGGTCACTTTTGAAAGTAATTCTCTACAAGCATATTTGTCAGTTTTACTTGCTTAATTTCTTAATAGTTTGAATTAATATCTTTACAGGTCCTAGCTTTGGTGTTTGTCAGAAAACTCATGGATTTCTTTTTTACTAAGCGGGAGCTCAGCTGGTTAGATGATTTGATGCCTGAGAGCAAGAAAAAGAAACTGGAAGATGCTGAGAAAGAGGTGAGTCATGGTTTCAGGGTTTTTTTTTTGGTGTTTCCCCTTCATTAAAAAGAAATTTCGGGAAAATTCTGTAAATAAGGCATATTCCATGCAGCAGGCAGACTTGTTAATATTATCCAAAGTGTAATATCGTGCTATTTTACAGAAGTCCTTTTAAGGTTGCAAATCTAATTAGAATAGGTCTAATCCCACTTAGGTGGGGATGTCTAATAGGTGTAGATTCTTATGCTACCATACTATCATATAAGATAGTATCTACAGTGTTCCTGGGGATTGCGTCTGAGATCTGCTCAGATGAAGTGCAGGGGTGAACTTGTAGGAAAGTCCTCAGGTGCCTGAGGCACTGCTGACTGTTTCAGATCTGTACTCCTTGTCTTCTTTCAAAGAATATGCATTTAAAATCATTTCTTATAAACTTGATACAGGACAGATTCTTACAGATTTCTACTGAGAAATTTCCTGTGTTTTGACAGTGAAACACTGATTTTTCTGACTGTAGCCTTCTAACCAGTTTTTCATCAGTTTGATGGTATTTTCATCTAGTTGCTGCTTTGTGCAGCTTGTTTGAATATCTCATGAAACTGTGGGAATACTAAGTAACTTTATTTGCAAAGGATGGAGGTCTTCATCCTTTGTCCCTGGTTATCAGCCACCTGTTCAGTGTCAACGGTTAGAGAACATCAGTATCGGGCCCAAATAAATGAGGGTCCAATCACTAAGTGCAGGAGCAGTAGGTAGAATACGTTGGTGCTAGGCTGTTTTAAATGGGAGTCGTGTATTCTGCATCAGCACTTTTAAATGGTAGCATGGTGTGAGGCTGAGGTGGCAGTGGGAAGTGAAGGTGTAGATAATGGCATGTGGTGTTGGCAGGCTGTGGTCACTTCTAGGTGGGACTGCTCTGGGGACAGTTGTGCACATGACCTCTAAGTTTCCCTAAAGACCTGTGAGACTTGATCTTTTGGTGGTACAGTGATACCGCAAAAACTAGACAATGTGAATGGCTAGATCAGCAATTTATCCTTAGGGATACCCTGAGATATGATCCAAGACTAGTGAATTGGTGTGTGTAAAGCTTCCCACTGGTAAGTCTATTTGCAGAAATAGGACATGAACTAATAATTTGAACAAGTAACTCTGAAAACTAGATTTCTCTGCCTCTAGGATTCTTCTGTGACCTTTGATAATTCACTGCCTTATCTTTAAGCTGGAGAACAATAACTTTGCTTTTCTTGACACATTAAACTTTCTAGTTTCATAGAGTACGTTTTGGGGTAAACGTTTTACCAAGGTGATAAACATCATGATGACTATTTACTATTTAGTATGTGCCTGTAAAACTACCATCTGCAATTAAAATATGTGAGTCATTGTGTTCCCCCTTGAATTGAAGAGAGTTGTTTCATCACAGTATCTGTTGTCATCACAATTCAGAGTAACCAGAAGTAACCTAGGTAGTAGCTCTTTTCTTGTGGCTCTAGTTACTGGAACTATTTCCTTGTTATCCTTACGTTTTGGTTATATGTCACTTTTCTTCCCATGCTTGATAGGATGGCATCAGAAAACAAACCTGGGGAAATATACTGGTGTTACTTTATTTCATTCACTGTCTATTTTGAGAGGTTATTTTTACATATTTTGGCATTTCTAAATATTTGGAGCTATTATTAAAACTGTTCAACTGTCAAAAACTTAGGAAGCTGTGAAGCCTGGAAATGACAAAATTAACTAGTAATAAAACTTCTGACATGTAGCCTAAGGAATTAATTGGAGAGTTGCTATCACACGGCTTTTAAAAATAGAAGTATTCTACCCACAAGAATATTCAGAAATATAGTTGACAAGATCTGAAACTTATTTGATTGGATCCTCATTTCATCACTTAAGTTGTTTTTGTATTTTTAGGCCATGTTTTTTCAAGGCTTTAGATTTATAGTGGAAATTATACATGCCTTCTCCTCACAGACCTCCTTTGGAAGCCACTTTGATGTTAACCAATTAAGTCTTTTCAAGCTAGGAATGAACAAAGTGGCTTCTCCCATTTGGAGAAAAAGAACGTTGTGATTTATAAAATAGCTGTAGTAGGAAAACATAGAAGGGAAAAATAATCTGTGCATAGAGGACTTAAATTTTACTATTTTGGATAACTGGCTCTTCCAGCTAATACCAACTTTTCAGTGTGTGTGATGCATGTGGGGTTTCGGGTGGTCTGCCAGGAAATGGTAAGCTCTCTTTTTGGGAGAGCCTACTCACGCTTTCAGACAGGCACCAGGGTAAACTGATACAAAGCCCTATAAAGGGAAAAAACGATGTGGAGGTCTCTGGGCGTCTTGTTATGCTCATAGTGCGTACATACACATACACAGTGCAACAGTTTAGGGCAGGATTTGACCATTACATTCATGTGAAGGCTCTTGGCTGTGGTTTCCCTGACCTAACAGAGGTGTGAACCTTGAGAATCCTCCTGTGGAGCTTTGTGCTGATGTCAGAGAGACAGACTCTTTTCCTGTGTTCTTGCAGGCAGGACGTGGTGTTTGAGGGGTGTTGCTTTGTTCTCCTCCTAAGACAGATTTTCTAAATTTGTAATTATTTCACAAAAGGATTGTTGGTAGAGGGGTCTTAATTTCCTGTTACTCAGAGAAGTTTCCTACCTTCCTATGAAAACTGATTTTGGTGTCTTGTTTCACTACCTTTCACTGCAATAAAACTTCATCAATATTAAAACTGTGTGTGCAGCCTTAATTTTGACTTGCCTGTTTTTTTGCATGTTAGCATTACAATGCATATATCCTGTTATGCATGGTATTTAAAATTTGCCATACTGTTGCTCATTTAGTGTTGCTAAGTTTTCTCTTTCTTGTTACAAAAGTGTCTCCTCTATTTGGCATTGGAAAATAACATTAGGTGAAGACACATACTTTAAAATAGAAGAGGTTTTAAATGTCAAGTATGTACATTAAGAAAGTTGAAAAGTATGTTATTTTAAGAAGTTCAGATAAATACTTAAACGGAAAGAGGATTAAAGTACATAAATTTCACAGCATCGTATCGTGTCTCGTATCTAAATTTTTTCCTTTTAGGAAGAGCAAAGTATGCTAGCAATGGAAGAGGAAGGAACTGTTCAGTTACCACTGGAAGGACATTACAGGTAAAATATACCTTTCCTCTTTTAGGTGAGTTACAATTAAACAAATCAAATAAACATGCCACAATATTTATTCTTAATGCTTACTAAATGTTAGGGTGTTTGGTAGTAGAGTACAGTTGGGTGAACTGAACCATCAGCATTCAACAATCTCAACCCTTTTCTAGTCTTTCCACATGATCTCATGGTCCCTAAGAAAATACCACATTGGGTGAAGTTTTCCCTTGGGCAGGACTGCAGGATCAGGCCATTCATAACGAGCTTTCTGACATGCATGGCAGGGAAAGAAGATGTAGAGGAGGTCAAACCATTCACTCTGATGCTAGCAGGGAGCCAGGAAAGGTTTTGAACACACCCCAGAAAAGCTAGGTTCTTACAGTATTACATTATAAAACATTCTAATTAAGACTCTATCCATTTGAGATAATAAATGAATCAAGATCTGTCCAGGGTAGATAAAGCATAATGCGGGGTTGACACAACTTAAAAACCACGAGCACCCATGTTATAGCTAGTAATAATACACATGGCCAGCCCATAAGGACTTACTCTCATTTTCAGTTTTCAGAAAGTTCTTAATAAAGATTTGAAATATCTGGTGATAGTAACCTCTGCATTAATGACAGTTTATAGAAACACGATCTCAGAGTGGCTTTCTCTGTAATATTTTAACACAAAGTTACCCTAAGGTCTCCTAAGGCAAATAGCAGTCTGTGTCTCTGAAAAATCCCAGTCTATTTCTTACTTTTGATGCATCACACCACCCTAAATGGTCTGTTTTTTTATTCTTTTGTCCATACCTTTGTGTTCTACTTTATATTAGCAGTGGTTAGCTTAATTTATTTTGAGGTGTGATCTATATTGATCTGTAGTTTCTTTTGATAGAGTTGCCTGGATAGTACCTGACTTTCTCTACTGTCAGGGTCACAGTCCTACAGCTAAAAAGAAGTCAAGATACCGGTTAATAAAGTGGTTCCCCAAAACAATATGCAAACAATTTTACTGAGGGCTTACTGAATGTCCATATATATATAAGTCAAGACAAGCAAGCCCTCTAAACATTTGAGACTATTATTCTTAAGTGTATAAATATGTATTTGGAGGAGTCAAGATTTTTGATTGCTTTTAAAATTGTTTTAAAAGCAGATGGAGTTTCAGAGCATAAGTACTTTGTGAACTGTTATAGGAGCTCTTAGGATTCTTGTTTAATCCATCTATACCACTGGCATGCTGAGATATCTTGGGCAATATTTAATTTCACAGTTCCTCATTTTTCTCTGTTAGTTGGAAGTTACACAACGTATTTTATTGACATTACTGTGATTAATTGCTGTTGGAGGAAGAAAATACTAAAAAGTGCGAAGGTGTTTTAAGATTTAAGAGAATATTTAAGTCATTGTTCAGGATTTTTTAAGTTAAACATAATTTCTTAACTTACATTGCGCTTACTGTCATCACTATCAATTTTCAAGGACTTTTATAGTTTATAAGTAACAAAGACTGATTGCTCATTGTTTTATTGTGTATTTATTTTTATTCTTGCCTAGAGATGACCCATCTGTGATAAACATTTCGGATGAAATGGCAAAAACTGCTGTGTGGAAGACATTGTTGATATCCTCAGAGAATGCAAAAGATAAGGAGTCAAGCTTTCCTTCTAAAAGGTTTTAACATTTTTATACTTCATTGTACTTTATGTATTGGTGTCAAACCAATATCAGAATATTGTGAATACTGTGCTAGGGATTAGAAAGATTTCTAGCATCTTGCAGTTTTATTTCTTGAGGTTTCTTTTTATTTACATCCAGTCATAATATTCTGAGCTCACAAACCCACAAATGCACTATTTATTTAAAAAAAACCACCCCAGACCACAAGTATTTGCATGCTACTTAGTTATGCTACAGTGAAAAATGAAGTTGAGCATGAGTGATGCTTGTGTGACGGATCACCAGCCTACACCTGGATATTGCACAACAGCTGTTGTGTGTTCTGCTTGCTTTTGTTCTTTCCTCTTGAAAAATAAGTGGCCATCACTGCCCTGGAAATATTTATATGAAGGACCCAGTACTCTGAATGCAATTGACTAATATTTGCAGTGAAAATACTTTCAAGATTGCATTACTTCCTTTCATTTCTTTTGCCTTCTTGCCTTGTACTCAAAACAGTTAAATACGTTTAAATTTTAGTCGAGACAAATGTAAAATGAAGCACTGATGTTCTGTCTGTGCTATAGTTATTATGTGAATAATAGTAAGCACAAGCACAGTAGGATCCTAAGATAAATTTTCCTCTTCATAGATTTTAAATTTATCTGTTTCTACTTAATTGTTTCATATCACATTTTGTCATAAGCTCCCCTTCCTAATTACTCTAGAAGCTGATTCCCCAAAGGTAAGACCCTATCTCCCAATCTTTTCCTTGATTGTATCTTTGAATTCAAACTTCAGCTAGGAACGCAAATGACTTGACTTTCTGTAGTTTTTGGGGACAGAGAATGAAAAATTTTGAATAGGAATGTAAAATATACTCATTAAAGTCCTTAATATTACAATTTAAAATTTATTTTGTATTAAAAATAGAAGCTGTAGATGTAGTATATTTAAATATTAAATGGAATTTATTCTTAGAACTCTTAATCAAATATTTCAAAATATAAAGTTATATTCTGCCCGTTTCTATATCTAGTTTTCAAAACAAGCACCATGTTTGAAACAGCTTCTCACTGATCTGTGGTGAAAACATGCAGTAAGAGAAAAAATCCTGTAGGAAAATAAATTGTTTAAAATGTTATTAACCCAAAATGGCATGCTGCCTTTCAGTGTTGTTCCTACCCGTAAATAGCATAAACAAAATGATCAGCTGATGACCAGATAAATCATTTCAGACACCCATGGAGCAGCTGATTAATGTGATCATTTTAATGCTGTTTCACTGACAGCCAAAATAGCACTGTAGTTCTGATTTGCTTTCCACTCTCAGCTGAAAAGACCATGTCACAGTGAAATCCATGTGGTGCATGGGAGAAGAATGTACAGTAGGGTCTTCTTACATTATATGCCTCTCTGTCCAGGCTGTGAAAGCCTGGAGAAAGAGAAGAAACTGATGTGGTATATTCGCAGCCACTGGGTATGCAGCAGTTCTGTTTTTCTCTAGTGCATATTGCTTTCTTTGATGGTGTAATAGATTACGTAAACATGTACTGGTTTTAGCTGAAATTTTCAAAGATCCTTTGAGCAAAGAGCATCTACCTAAGACTGTGGCTGAGACAGTATTGGCAAAAAAAATTTGGCCTCTCCACTGCAGTAAAATAGTAACTAATTTTCTAATGAGCTCATTTTCAATCTTTTATCTTTGGTTGTGAAAACAAAGACTCAGGTGGAAAGGAACAGTTTGATGATTTTAGGTATGAGTGTCCTGTTGTAAAGGAACAACCTCTTAAAGAATCTGAAACCTGCTTTTTCACGTGCTCTAGCTTGTCTCAGATTCCCAGACAAAAGTAGATTCAAAGAACTTTAAACCTCTGATAGGCAAAACCGTAACACATTAATCTTAAATCTTACTAGAGACAGAGCTAAAGAAACATTATATTCCTAAATGAATGTATCACTACATGAAGATATATTTCAATCCTAGGTTAAGTACTGAGAAAAAGAAAGCTTGGAATGGTGGCAGTTGTAAGGATAATTTTTGCAAATGATCAAACTGACCAATATTACATTACACAATTCCCTTCAGTGAAAGGGTATCTTACCATAGGTGCAAAAAAATTGTGTTGTTTTCTGACTAATTTTGCTGATGCCTTTTGAAGTTCAGCTACAGCACTGTTTAATACTCTTTTTCCTCTTGTCAGGTCTGCTTTCTTATACTAATATCCCAACATACTACTAAATGGGGACAATTAAATTATGATTCTGTACTATGCTTTTATGTAAGGCACTGATCAGTTAACAACATAGGGTGATTTCTGGAATTTGTAAAATCTGGAAATTCTTGGTACTAATTAAATATTCAGTTGACAAAGCTAATGAAAGACTGGCCAATAATAAACTAAGATCATCTTCAAAGAGATTTCAAGCACGAAGGGTCTACACAGATGACTTCTCAGCCTGATGCATGGATAATACCTATCATACCATCTGTGTAGCAGTACAGTTGTGTGACAGTTACATCCCAGACTCACAGCAGCATTTGTCAATTTTAATCAGCTGTTGTTTAACCATAGTTTACAATTTTCCAAACTTAATTTTTCACTGTTATAACTCCTAGGGCCCTACAGGTCTCTCCTTTTGAGCATGTCTTGGTAAAACTGAACACCTAGGCACCTATCTGAAACATAGCCCTCTTTGGTACATACAATTAACTATTCCTCTGTCTTTGCTTATAATATTAAGCCCTTCAGACAGCAGTGTCAAAATACATGCAGAAGATTTGACCATGTATAGAAGGAAGGGTACTGGAGAAATCTATCACTTTGTAGACTGTGTGAGTCCCCTTCCCTACCTGAAGATAGAGATGATACAAAAGATGCAGGATGCAAATCCCTCTTCCCAAACCTTCCATCTCAGGCTTGATAGACTACTCCCTCAGTAGGGAGGAGTAGAGTGCCAAGTCTCTTACAGATCCAGCAGTAATCTGTTTTACTGGTAAAATATTGGACCTGTCCTTTCTTAGTTTCCAATTTCTCATGACACTGAAGCCCACATCTGCAGGTGATGCTCAGGGATGTGACTCTTCCTAAATAGATGGAAGACTTTCTTGGTATCATGGAGGCCCCTAAATCATGGGAATATTTTAAGACTGTAAGGCAACAACGCATCTTCACCGTTTGCTTTTACTAAGCACAGGTAACTCTCAGCCTGCTGTACTGCTGCACTTTAAATTCACCCCCCAGGAATTTGTTTGCATACCCTTTGTGTGCAGAAAGTGTAACATACCCAATTCTATCACTGTTCTACAGAAGGTGATAGATTTGGCAGTTGAAGTGGCAGAAGTTGGTATTCTTTAGCTATTTCCATTAACACCTCTGGAAGCTGCCACAGGCATAGAAGTAAGCTTTGGCTGAACTGAATTGTATCCTTAAAGCAATTTTTATGTGAAGAAAAATGTCAGATGATTGTAAAATTGTGCATGAATCACCTTAAGAATTTGAGAATTGATCTTGCTTTTTTTAAACCTTGTGTAACAGCCTATTTCTCATTCATTCTAGTTAAGGAATTATTCCCATGAAACCTGGTAGGTTATGTGCTTGATACAGGTTTGTTCTCAGAACCATCTTTATTTTTTTTTAGATACCCTGCCACTCTTTTGTTAAAGGCTTGATGTGCCCATGTCATGGAAGCCTCTTTGCATTTTCCTAGTGTGACTGAACTCATTGCGAGAACGTGATTTTTTATTTATTTATGCTGTTTTAAATTAGGACACTCTTCACCAAAAAAAAAAAAATCATCTGCTTTGCACATATATTGCTTTCTCTAGGCAAATCAACAGTGTCATAACTGGAAGGAAGCTGAATCCAAATCTGAACTCTGCTTCAGAGTTCTTATTGATATGGCTTCTGATAGATCTTTCAGGCTTTACGGGTCAAAATGGGGAATATTGTCACTCCCCAGCCCCCGTGCTTTTTCCTGCCAAATACTACAGCTGAAAATTGGCTTGCACCGCTATAGTTCAGAGACATTCCTTCTAAATTTACATTGAGCAACAGAATACATTTTAAAGACAAGAAGTACTTGTGACCTCTTGTTTGTGCCATTTAAGAGAATGCCAGTATTGTCTGAGAACTGTACCACTGCCATCATCTAATCAATTAACAGTTGTATTTGCCAAAAAAAAAAAAGAAAAAGAAGAAAGTGTCTGCCTTTGCTTGCATGCTGGCTGACGTCTGTTTGTACATCTTAAGTTCTCTATCTCATCACTAAAATGCTGGCTGATGTCTTCTGCACCATTCGGCACAAACTTTCACTTGCTTCCCAGTTTGTGCTGTGCAGCATGAAAGAAAAATTAAAGTATCAGTGCAGTGTTGGTTTTCAGGTACATCATTAATATACACAGTAGTGCTACTGTAACTCTTTTTTTCCCCCTTCTTTTCCTAGTGCTGAAATCAGAAAAGAGAAGAAAGCTGACTCAGGGAAAGGTGTTGACCGGGAGACTTGTCTATGACTTGTTCTTCAACTAATTTTTTTACAAATGAATGAAAGGAGTGCCACAACCACTAAATATATATGATTTACCGTGTAACTTTTGTCTTTCATCTCAGACTAGCACAGGTAATGTAGTGCAATATTTGTTTCATTTCACCTTGTCTACATGTCTGTATCATCTAGTATCTGTGTAAATGTCTGCAGTAGCCAGTGCAAAAAGTCTTTATGTTCTTTGCTGATACTGGCCATTTATCAGTGTTTGTACCATAAATCTAATAAGCAAATTTTTCTTTCAAATTCAACTTTAGTGGTAATAGGTTTGTACTGTATTTTACTACTTTTTTCTGTGTGAGAATACTTACTAATCTTTATTCAAGATTAAAAACCACCTAACTCACGTAAATGATTTCAGGAAAGCCAAACTGACAGCAAACATTAAAGAAGTTTTTAAAGTAACAGCTGATCTGACCCTGTGAACAAACTAACAAGGATAATCCTTTCCTCCTCAAGCTGTCCTTCTGAAGTCATGGATTACTCTTGCGATGAGGATTGCAGGGTTAGATTCTGTATTTGTGAAATTTTCCTTGATTTAATACAGTGTATTTAATATTCAAATTTGTATGTAGATGGAACATAGTCATATATATTTAAAAATATGTACTAGAACATTCCCTTACCTTAGTTGAAAAACTCCACCACATCCTTTGATGTGTGAAACATGGGTACGGTATTTCTTAATATTCAATCTGTGATTACAGTATCTTATCTTGTATTGTATGACTGTTGCTGTGGTTGGCCAAACAACTAAATTATGTCAATAATCAATCTATTATTTTATAATAAAGAAAAATTTGTAGATACAAGCTATATCCCACATGCAGTTATATCACCTGCCCAATGTTTTTCTTCTTCATTGCCTAAAATACAGCCACATAAAGGGCATATTTATATTGGCCTCTCTACCAACAACTGTAAACCTCTTAATTTCAGAGATTAAGTGTATAATACTTAATATGCTGATGTTGATTTTGTTACAGTTCTTCACTATTCCATCAAGTACATTGATTAAAAGATAAAAACAACTTTACAAAGTAAAATGTGGCTTTAAAATTATTGCAAAGATGTTTTTCATAATGGATTTTGTTACTGCCTGATCCTTCATGCCATTCTTTTGTGTAAAACAAGGACTGTGAGATTAGGTATTGAATTCATAGAGATGTGGAGAAACAGTTTTGTTGAGTAATTTGGAATTCACTGATTTTTAAATTTTTTTAAGGTAAGTTTTTAAATTACTAAATGAAAGATAACTCTCGTTATTATGCTATTACCTTGAATCCTACCAATACGAATTAGTCTTGTAATCTTTGTAATAATTCATCTACAGGAATCTAGCATTCCCCAGCTTTCTAAAATATGATAATCTTTCCACAGATTTCATGCAAACAACATTTCAGATGCATCACATTTTAATTATTCCTTTTAATGTTTCTGTGTGTGCGAGAGTGTGTGATGTTTTACTACTGTAGCCATAAATGATAACTGCATTTTGCTGCAAACTAATAGGGTTGCTGTTTTGAATTTGACTTTGCATTATCAAAGCCCATTAAAGCCATTTTTATGGAGGAAAAAAAATATAATGGACACAAGGATTTACATTTAACTCAATGTTTGTAAATTTAGGAAAAAAAAAAAGCTGATGCATTAAGCTAAAATGCTTTGTTTTGTGTACTTGATAAACTGTAAGATTCCAATTGTTTTAAGATTAGTATAGAAGTTCAATACTGGTTTGTCCCGAGAGCAGCCTGGTGGTGTTTTAATATGTTGCTGACTTTGTTACAGATAACATATACAATCAAAATGTATTAGTTTCACTTGACCAACTCTTAGAATATTAAGAAATCAGTATATTCAATGGCATTCTGTATTTCTGTTCAGTATTTCAGAGTGGTTTTATTTTAAAGCACTCTGTTCTTGTGTGAATTTAAATGCTATTCCAATGTTAATCTTAACGTTCTGAAATCACACACAATATAAAGCAAATGTAGTGCTATATTTACTTCTAATTTAATATTCCTGGTCAAAATTACTCAATTTCTTGGATGTAATTTATTACAGAAGTTTATGTGTACATGTGAATAGACTGTTGTGTTTTTCACAAGACATGTTATGTGAAAATAAATATTTATCCTAACTAATTTTCAATTTTATTTTCACACTGCAAACCTCAGAAAACCTATGTAATATGGTACAGTATTTTAAATGTCTACCTGACACTTGAATATGCTTCACTGTAGAGTGCAGTTCTGCTCAGTGAAATGTCACTGAAACATGAAACAAGCCAACAGTGGTGGCTTGCTGTGCGTAGTTGATAGAGGTTACAGTAAGGGAACACATGTAGTTCTTTAAGTACGAGAGCCTAGTTAATGTAGTTGTCGGATTACAGAAATACTATTTTTGGTCTATATGACACTATTGCCCCTTGCTTCGCAAGTGATCCAGAAGTTCATAATGATCATCTTTTTTATAGCCTGTCTGCATTGCTGTGATCTATCTTCAAACTGATCTATGTTTCTTTCCCTTCAGTTAAAAGAATCAGAGATGAGGTTGTTATAACCTCTTGGAGACAACTGACAGCCTTCATCCTACCTCTAGAGCTTGCTTTAACAGTGATGCCAGTCTGCATTAGAATGACTAGTAGTGTGAGCCCAAACTTCTTTATTTTGTGAGTCAAGGAGGTTTTGGTTTGTTTATGAACCCCTTCTTTTTTCTCATTTAAGGACAAGCTGCATGAACTTGTCTTGATGTTCTTCCCCACCTCCCTTGTGCTTTATCTGTGTGCATTTACATTTATCCGTGTACTTTTACATCCAAACCTAGTGTCCCCAGTAACCCACAATACATACCTGACTGCATGCTGGCATCTAATAACAAGAAGTTTAATGTCAGATAATCATGTCACCCTCCATTACATGATACTATTAAACAAAAGCAGAAGTTTCACTGTTATTCTCTCAAAATTAACAGTGATTTTTTTTTTAAATTCTAAGAGTTCATTTCTTGAGCAGCATTTTCAATGATACAGACTACACCGCCTATTCATAACTTAGTATCTTTTTTTATTTAAAAGCAGCACAGTTTGTAGTACATGTGGGTTGTATCTTTTCTATATGAAATTAAGAAAACTAATCATCAGCTGAAGAAGTCTACCTGGAATGCTAAAGATAAAGCAGATGGTTACTGGCAGGCTACAAAGAAAAGAAAGTTTGCTAAGCAGCATGTTCACATGAGAGTTAGTTACATGAAAGTCCAGCCTTTGCTTGAATGCTACTTTTCATTGTAATGTTTTATGTTTTGAGTGCAAGGAATGTATCCTTTCATCAGTAAATGGGAAACTTGAAAAAAACCCCACAAACCAACCAACCAACCAACCGATTTTCTCCCATAGAGAAACAATGGTGGGGTCCTAGAGTTCCCAGATAAGAGTTTACCAGGGCAGATTTCCACAGTAGCAGCCTTTCTGACTATAAAGTAAGCAAAACTCACAGTACTATGATAGGAAACAAAGAAATCCAGTGCCACTGGTTTGAACAGGTATCATTCAAAAACTTTGGTGAAGGCTGCTTACATGCCTTCCTTGCAAGGCTTCTACAATTGTACATGAGATTATTTACTTAAGGAACTGCAGTAAGCAAGTCAGTATTTTTCTGCTAAGTGTTTCATTCTGCATAGAGAATATTAACATACGAATGCATATTAACATTGCAGTATTCCTGGTACTACTTCCAAAATAATAATTGATCAAACATTAGGTAATTTCTGCAAAATCTGGTTAAAATTTTATCAGTACTTTCACAGAAATGATGACAGGGTTAATTTTATTTTTTGTGGGAAACATTATTATATTTGTTCTTCAACTGATCTCCATGTTGATTCCTCTGTGACATTTTCATTATTCATTACCCTACTATAGAAACTGGACTGTTTCTGTTTTATGCTGAAATAGCAGAAGGTACTGATTCAAGCAAGTACTGTGCTTTCCAGAAGTCTGCAACATACCTGCGTTCTGGTGACAAGACCTAATTAAACATAATGGATAAAAATGCAGTAGCTGCGTGACAAAAGCAATCAATCATTATAAAGATTAGGATTTTGTTGTGTACACAGGTATCCCAAGAGCTGATCCTTATCTCAATTCATACTGGCTCAGTGTACATTAACTAGAGAGTATTCTAGGGAAGTACCATCACTTGCTGGTGCTAGGGCAGTGAGAAACACTGCTTTATGAAGTGGCTCATGTGGGTATAAATATGCTTATGTGCTTGACCACTGATGGCATGGTCTTTGTCGGTGTACCACTGCGGGAAAGAAAAATACAGAGAATGTTAGTTCTAGCTACATCTAAATCAAACAAGATAGAGAGACATAAAAACATGTGCAGCCCTTTAAAATTAGCCCAGCATGGAGGCATGATACTTCAATCCCCGCTTTGCGTGTGGGATGCCCCATCTAGTCGTACTAAAAGTACGAAATGAATATGTGGCTTGTCCAAAGGGAGGGTAGATGCAGCTCTACAGTTTAGAACAGCACCTCATCTCTTGAGCCTGTAAGGCCCGTGTATTTGTCTGAATGACAACCACGCACTGGTGCACTTCCTTCTGTATTTCATAGTTTTCAGCACTGCTCCCCATGAGCTGGGAGAAGGGAGGAAAGGAAGAGCTTGCAGCTTAGTCTGTGAGTTTTCATGTACAGCGTAAGAAGGGGCAAATAACTACTTGTCTTACCAGTTCAACAGAGAAACACCAAACATTACCTCTGGATAGGAAGATAACCTGGACAGATTATCTTGGACTTTAGGATATAAGGAAGGCTTAACTTCAGCTATCTATCTCTAAAATACTATTCACTGGACTTCGGGTATATGCAAAGATTGGTTTTGTCTGTTTGTCTGAGAGCACAAAAATAACAAGGTGAAAGATTAGGTAAGCTGGGTCAAATACAATTTGCTGCTTTACATTTTGTCTTGTACAGAAGATACATGGATGGGTTATGTTAAAATTTCAGTCACTGAAAATGAAATACGAGTATGTGAACTTTAAGACTGCAGTTAATTTAAACCTTACAACAGAGAGCTTTTACTAGTCTCATAGTACAAACCCATTTTTATGATTATAAACAAAACAACCATACCATTGCCTGAAAATCCACTTCAGCATCAACAAGAGCTTTGGAAATCTGTGCTGCTTGCTGAAAGTGAACATTATCTGAAAAGTGGAAGAGAAAGAAGAAAAAGGTAAACAAAAAATAGCTTCTGTATTACTCTAGGGGAAAAGCAAAGCAACGAACACAGCAAACTCCCCAGCACTGCTGAGTGAAACACAAATCAGTTGCAGAAAGCAGTATTATTTTATTGACGTAAATTTAACAGCCTTGCCCCTTCATGGTTTTGTTTTGTCAGTAGTAGAATTGCGAACCTGTCTGTAATACTAAAATGTCTAATTAACTGCAACTCACCATCTGCTGTTCCATGAATAAGGAGATATTCAACTTCCTTGAATTTTTCAGCTCTGGCCATTACTGTTGAACTCTGAAATTACAGAAAAGGGGGGTGGAAGGAGGGGGGAAGAAAAAAGGTGCTACTTATTAGAAGATGATTTGCTACCAACTGACTTTGATTCCTGTTGACATAGTCTGGGGTCCTTCACATAAAAACAACCACCCCTGCTCCCCCCTCCACACCCTGAAGTAGCATGTTCACATATCCAGCAGCACTGTGCTCGCACTCAAACCATTCTGCACTGATCTGCCATTATTACCAAGGGTTATGTCTGCAAAGTAACAGGCAATTCCAGAGGGGAAGAGTTTTGCGAGTGAGATACACATTTAATGCATCGCTAACATGTTGTTAGCCTGCAGCACACCACTTGCCATAGGTTTCCTGTGCGACTGCAGACAAGTTAAAGAATGTTGCCATGGCAACAGTGCACCCTATGATAGCAAGGAGGAAATCTTGCAGAGCCTACATGTGTTATCTTCCCCACCAAAACATACACTAGTTCACATGTAGGTAAGTCAACAGAGCTAATATTCCACCAGTCTCAAGTAAAAATGGGTGTCAAAGTTTAAAACAATGCTCTCCCCCAATACAGTAGAGAAATGCCTGAAGGAAGAGACACTAGATGACATCTATAAATAGATGTGAAGCTCCATTTTGGGAACTGAAAGACAATATGGTGATGAAAAAAAAAAAAGGCAACTAATCAAGAAACTTAAAACACAGTAACAACATACTCCCTAAAACATAATAACCACCTGATCATAATGTGACTAGGTACTAAAGAATGAGGAAAGTAAGAATTGCAAGTAAGATGTTTAATTTGGGAAAGGAAAGGGAATGGGATAGTGCTCTGCCATGAGAATGGGAAGACGACAAGGGACAAGAGATGGTATTTTGGGTTTGACAAGGCAATCAGTATAATGGGGCAAAAATACACTGATTTACATTTCTTTCTATTAGCAGCATTATAAGGATTCTCTGATGAAAATAACTGAATCCCTGTGGACTTTTCTCTGTATTACAAGACCTTAAAAGCTACTATGGCTAGGAAAAAAAAAAAAGAATAATTTTGGTTTGGTTGTGGTTTAGTTTTTTTAATTTCTTCTGCACCATGTACTAAGGCTGTATCCTTGCATATGGATTTTCATTTAGTACCCCCAAAACATTGTATTACCAAGACACAGAAGTGTTCTAATTTCTTTATGTCTCTTGTATACTCATGAATCTTTAAAGCAAGCATGAATATTAATTAAATGGCAGAATGATTTACCATAACCCTCTCATCACTGCAAAGATCTGATTTCCCTTAATTCAACCAAATTTAAAAAACAAGTTCAATACAGAGGGGAAAAAACAGCACCCTCCAATCCCTAACACTGCAATTGCCCTCTTTTAATAGCGAAAGGCTGCAGAGCACCAGAAATCCCAGCTAATGTATGGTGGTAATCCACACACACTGGAAGGATGACATCCACTGCAATGACTTGGTATCATGGAGTAAGAACAGATAGTTATGAGAGTGCCAAAATTTGGAGAGAGGCCTTTGATTCAGTGAGCATTGGTACAGCAGCCAAACAAAAAGAATGACTCAGAAAGTAATGGCCCAGTGATATAAACAAGCAAGTAAGCAAACAAAAAACC